CCCAATCGAGATAGTCTTCATATGAAGCAGAAACGTCTGGTACTCCAGCGCGATGGGAAAGAATATCACTGACTGTGGTGTTTTCTTTTCCATTTTGTCCATATTCAGGCCAATAGTCAGTAACCAATGCGGAATAGTTGAGTAAACCTCGTTGAACAGCAAGAGCGACAGCGGCAGCGACAATTCCTTTCGATGTTGAGAAAACTATTTGTAATGCTGCGCTATCATAAGGTTTTGTCTTTGATTCATCAAACCATCCACCTGTGAGACTAACGACTGGTTTGCCTTGGTGATATATTGCCACTGATGCTCCTAAATCTCGGTCTTTGATAAAATTATCTTGAAAAAGATCGGAGACAAATTCCCAACCGGGTGCGATTTCGCCTTGAATGTTGTGATCAATTAATTTGTAACTAATTACGGATAAAGGGAAAGTCAACAGAAGAAAATACATTGAATAATGGATCATTCGGTTAGCACTCATATTGAAAAGGATACAGAATACGCTCAACAGAAAGAAAAAGAATACGATAAGTATAGTCGAGTATATGTCAGTATGTAAATGAGATTATATTGAATTTATGTAGTACATTAGTTAACATTCGAAAGTTTGTAAAAATACGTATTATTCATTGAAAAAATATCTTTGGTATTAGCATGTTATTTCACACGATTATTCGGATTAATATTTAATGTCATTTTCTGTTTTCGCAGCTCAAAGTGAAAATTGAGACCTTGAGGCAAGAGAAATTATAGAGAAAGAACCTCTCTCAGAATTTGATTCTGACGAGTCGCACATGGAGCGCCTCTCGAGAATGGTTTGCGTTCTTTTCCTCTCTTGCCACGTATGAGTCATCTGTTCTTTTTCTCTTGCACGTGCTCTTGAGAGAAAAACATAGTCAACATGTAGCGAACTGGGTATTTTTCATACTATATCAAGTTTCGTCGAACATTGGCATGGCGAACTCAAATATAAAAAGATGGAGTGTTAAAATTAATGATCTTCCACCGAATATCTATACTGCTGACTTGGCTGGACAGCTAGATATTGCAACAAATCGAATCTTTATTCCGAAACAGCGAGATTTCAACAAATGCTACGCGTATATTAACGGATTTCCAAATGAGCAACAAGCAAATGAGTTTACTCTTCGATGGAATGGGATGAACATTTATGAAAGAAGAATTAAATGTAAAGCTCATGAAAATATCCTAACGATACCGAGTACATTCCATTCCCGATGTCACGAACGTAAGTCAATTTTCTTAGTAAATATAGATTCGCTTAAAGCAAACTACGAATCTTTCACTGTTTTCCATAGAAGCATCAATAACTGATGATACGAAACCAATGAACCAGTGTGATTTTCGAGTCACGACTGATTCCAGTTCATTGCATTCATCACAAAACAAATCATTTCACTCCTCTTCAGAAGCAGATTCTATTCAATCTGAACAGCAAGAATGTCATCTTGGTATTCACTGTGCGTATGCATTTTGTCCGTGGATCCATCCGCCAGACTGGCACGTTTGTGAAGATGGAGCAGAATGCGATTCGTTTGATTGTAAAGCGAGCCATCCCGAAGATCGTAAAGATAAATGTTCGCTTGGTGGTAATTGTCACAATGACGTATGTCTTCTTTTACATCCGATTTCATTGCAAACACAGTGTTTCGACGGTGAAAACTGTCGAGTTTATGATTGTCGTGCATTACATCCTTTCAAGCGTCCAAAGTTGTGTCAGTATGGCAAGGAATGTAATAATAGAGCATGTTTATGTTTACATCCAAACGATCGACAGTTGTGTATACGTGGAGCTGAATGTCTGGAGCTCGAATGTACATATGTGCATCCATCCGGCCGACCAACTAAATGTAAAGATGGTATTCTTTGTGATAATTTCAATTGTAATCGGTTACATCCACGTGAATGGGATCCGCCAGATGATACCAATTATAAAAACTTCCAATCACAAAGTAGTGGCAATCTAAAATCATTCCGAGTGCGCATGAGCGAACGAGAATCCGCTCGATTACCTATCTTTGGTTCACGTACTGAATTTTGTCAACGATTGGAACGTGAAAAATTGCTTGTAGTCACAGCTGAAACTGGTAGTGGTAAAAGCACACAGTTGCCTCAATATGCTGCTGAGTATTTCTCCGATGGCCTCGTAGTGTGTACTCAACCACGTGTTGTCGCTGCGATGTCTTTGGCTCGTCGTGTGGCGGATGAGTACGATGGAACATCCGAAGGCAATTCTGTTGGATATCAAGTTGGCAGCGGCAATCGTGTACGAGGTACAAATATTATGTTTATGACGGATGCTGCACTCATCCACGAGAGTCAATCCGATCCAAACTTGAGTCGGATACGTGTACTGATAGTTGACGAAGCGCATGAACGTTCACTTAATACAGATATCGTTATCGGCATTAGTAAACTACTATTAGAAAAGCGTCCAGACGATTTCTTTGTTGTCATCGCTTCGGCGACCATCGATCCGACTCGGTTCTTAGCATTTTTTGATCGAGCATTCGATTCTCCTTTATCCGTTCCTGGTCGTGTATTTCCAGTCACCAACGAGTATTTACCACCACCAAAAGATTGTACGGATCAAAATCTTATTGAATTACACCTTATTCCAACGATTCTTCGTCTGTTTCCCAAACATAAAGGACATACGTTGGTTTTTCTTCATGGTCAACGCGAAATTGAACATGCATTACAGTTGTTCAGTCGAGAGATACCCAATGGATGCGTAGCATTACCGCTCTATGGTTCGTTGTCGCCGGAAGAACAAGAAAGAGTGCTTCAATTCGATGATGAGAATCCCCAGCGGCGAATGGTTGTTTTTTGTACCAATGTTGCTGAAACATCGCTGACAATCAAAAACACTCGTCTTGTTATCGATACTGGTCTAGCAAAAGAGGCTCGATTTGACATTCAACGCCGTGTAACGATTATTGAAACTGTACGAATATCGAAATCATCTGCAAATCAGCGAAAAGGCAGAGCAGGACGTACAGCACCTGGTCATTGTGTCCGACTGTACGACATGAACGATTTAAAACGCGAAAATATCGAACCGGAAATTCTTCGCTCCTCACTTGATCTTGTCGTATTACAATTGGTACGATTAGGTCTCGATCCACGAACATTCCCGTTTATGGATGCACCTGACACACACGTCTTGACGAGTTCACTTGACCTGCTCACTCGTCTTTCTTGCATTATCAATGAAACAACAAGTACTTTGCGAGGTCAACTCTTTACGGAACTATCATTGGATCCTCGACTGAGTGCACTTATGACCAGTAGTTACGTGGATGTCGGAGGAGAACGTTTATTAGCTAGAAGTGCAATAATTGTTGCCATTCTGTCGGCACCTGGTTCACTCTTCTACATGGGTGGTGCTAGTAAAGAAGCTAAAGCTGAAGCTCGTAGTCGAGTGGCTGTTGGTGCATCCGAATTCGATAGTGATCTGTTCTATCTTTGTAGTGTGTACAAGAATTGGGAGAAGGCTGGACGTGTAGATCCGATACATAGACGATGTGCAACTTGTCAAAAAGTAGTTTCGAAACTATTAGATAGTTGTCGATCGTGTCGTACGCAACACGCGAATATCAACGGACTTAATAATAAAGTTCTTCAGATAGTTTATCGTTCGTTCGAATTCTACATGAAAACGATTCTGAACCCTCAATGGAAACTGACTGCATCGAGTAGTGTTGTGCTCGAATCGGACGAACGAGATGCAATTGGAGAACAACTTTACAAATTATTTCCAGAACAAACAGGTCATCTTCTCGTTTATCATTTACCAGATAACGGGATTCGTCTTATTAACAATGAAATACGTGCGAGAATCAACGATACAAGCGTTTATGTACAACGAGTTCACGATCATGGACACCACCATTTCGTCACCATGTCTATTACACAGTTACCTTCTGGTGATCATATTGTTGATCGTCTTCATCCAGTACCATCCAAATGCTTGCCACCAGTACCTATTAAAGATTTGTTCAGTCTAAAAAATGTTGGATATTTAGTTCACAATGAGATACGCAAAGCATTAGACAATCGCCGTTCGGAACCATGGACGAAATGGTNTTGAAACTGTACGAATATCAAAATCATCTGCAAATCAGCGAAAAGGCAGAGCAGGACGTACAGCACCTGGTCATTGTGTCCGACTGTACGACATGAACGATTTAAAACGCGAAAATATCGAACCGGAAATTCTTCGCTCCTCGCTTGATCTTGTTATATTACAATTGGTACGTTTAGGTCTTGATCCACGAACATTCCCGTTTATGGATGCACCTGACACACACGTCTTGACGAGTTCACTTGACCTGCTCACTCGTCTCTCTTGCATTATCAATGAAACAACAATTACTTTACGAGGTCAACTCTTTACGGAACTATCATTGGATCCTCGACTGGGTGCACTTATGACCAATACTTACGTGGATGTCGGAGGAGAACGTTTATTAGCTCGAAGTGCAATAATTGTTGCCATTCTTTCGGCACCTGGTTCACTCTTCTACATGGGTGGTGCTAGTAAAGAAGCTAAAGCCGAAGCTCGTAGTCGAGTGGCTGTTGGTGCATCCGAATTCGATAGTGATCTGTTCTATCTTTGTAGTGTGTACAAGAATTGGGAGAATGCCGGACTTATAGATCCGGTGCATAGACGATGTACAACTTGTCAAAAAGTAGTTTCGAAACGATTAGATAGTTGTCGATCGTGTCGTACGCAACACGCAAATATCAATGGACTTAATAATAAAGTTCTTCAGATAGTTTATCGTTCGTTCGAATTCTACATGAAAACGATTCTGAATACTCGATGGAAACTGACTGCATCGAGTAATGTGGTGATCGAATCGGACGAACGAGATGCAATTGGAGAACAACTTTACAAATTATTTCCAGAACAAGCCGGCCATCTTCTCGTTTGTCATCTACCAGATAACGGGATTCGTCTTATTAACAATGAAATACGTGCGAGAATCAACGATACAAGCGTTTATGTACAACGAATTCACGATCATGGACATCAGCATTTCGTCACCATGTCTATTACACAGTTACCTTCTGGTGATCATATTGTTGATCGTCTTCATCCAGTACCATCCAAATGCTTGCCACCAGTACCTATTAAAGATTTGTTCAGTCTAAAAAATGTTGGATATTTAGTTCACAATGAGATACGCAAAGCATTAGACAATCGCCGTTCGGAACCATGGACGAAATGGTTTACCTATGAATTTGATCGACGATCATGTTCTATTACTATATGGGGTATGGAATCTGATAGAATAATCATTAAAACGATTGTTCAATCGATGTTCGATGATGCAAGAGCAAAATTGTCTGCGATAACTGATTCGATTGAGTGTGGCCCTATTCGAGCATCCTTTAGAAGTGGTTTATTGTGTTCAAATATTGAAACTATGGATAACACACTTCGTCTCTACCTGCAGCATGTACCTTGCAAGAATTTTACTGAATTGAAGAAGTGGCTTCAAACAAATCTTGGCATCGATCTTTATCATATTAAAGAAAATAACTTTCGTCAACGTAATGCTAATGATGATAGAGATGTAAGATACGAAGCACCACCGTTCTTTATTGTTTTCAAATCAGCCGAAATGTTTAATAAAGCAAAGGGACGAGTCCCGCGTGATTGTGTTTGTTCACAAGATACGGTGTTGTTATCGTCGACGATGGGCATACGTATGGATCAAAAAGATACTTGGGGTCGACAGTTAATCATTACTATGAATCGATTGTATGAAACGAAGACTTCGGAACAAATTTTAGAAAGATTAACTCCACATGTGATCGATTGTCGAGAACGTGGCAAGAAAACTCGATCACTACAACCAGCTCTTCGACTGACTAATTTGCCAGATAGTACTAACGAATCGACCATACATCGAATTCTTCATCGAGTGAAACCAGTAAAAATCAATCTCTACCCTGCAAATGCCGATGGAACAGGTTCTTCAACAGCCAACATTTTCTATGATAACGAACAGCAACGTGATCAAGCTCGTTTGATCCTTCAATTGGCTCTATGCGATCAACCAATTCAGATTACGATTCGCAAGAAACGAAACGGTATGTTAACTGAAAAGTGGGTGATGCCAACTGTAACGAATCTGGTACCAAAAGAATCTCTGACACAATCATTCATCATAACAGCTATTAATCGAGAAGCAGCACTAAAGCTTTACAACGAAATTATTCCTAAGCTGGAACCTCTCTGGAAAGTCGACAGCACAGCTACAGTGACCGTTTTACAGTCCGATTTATATCCGTACTTTGATAAACTTGTGGAAAACATCGCCGCTCAATTCGACACTCACGTTGAACAACAACCATTCGACCAGAAACGTGGCAATAATGGCAGTGATAGCGATAAACGTTGCATCTTTAGTGGTGCACCTCCGTCCGAAACTGCCTTAGCAGCAGCAATGCTTGCTCAAGCAACATCTCCCATTGTTATTAGGATAACTAACGAACGACAAAAACGCCTGTTTAGTGAGTTACTCGATGAGAAATTGATTGAAACTTGGTGCCATCGATTGAATCTCAAACTCACTGAAAAGAATACGTCGCGCACCGTATTGGAAATTCGTGGCCCCCAAATTGAACAAGGTCAACTGATGCGTGAAATTGCTGACTATTCCGATAAATTTGAAGAACGGTTTCGCGTACACGACTTAAGTACAACAATAGGAAATCTATTCAATCGACAAAAGACCGCTGCTGTTAAACTGGATGAAATTGCTCAAAAATGGTCAAGAAGAGGTTGCGATGTCTCGTATCTTCGAAAGACGAATTCACTTATTATTCATGCGCAACCAAGAACAGCTCAAGTAGACATTCGAACATGCGAAACCGAAGTAAAACAAATGCTTGCAGAACTTGCCGCTTCTGACGATGTCAGTCGAGACAAGAGACAATGTGTATTTTGTCGACAAATGTCAGCATCCACTCGACTGTTTCGCATCTGTGGACATGCTTATTGTCAATGTGCGTCGAGCTCCTTATCACAGATGTTTCCATTTCAATGTCACGAACCAACATGCAAGACAAGTGTTCATATTCAAGATCTTCAAGAGATATTCACCGATCGTGGAGAATTGTCACGTCTTTGCAAACGATCGCTTCAAGTGTATTTGAAAGAACATGCCAGTACGGATGATCGACTTTTCTGTCCCAATGGTGATTGCGATGGATTACTGAGAAGTAGTGCTGGATATCGAATATGTGTGGCGTGTGGACATAATGTTTGTGTCTCATGTCGAATTATAGATGACGATCTTCACGAAGGACGAACATGTGCTGAAAGAAGGACAATTCGCTGCGAAATGGGCGAATTTCTCCCGAAATTATACGAAGCAGCAGAAAAATATGCGAAGAATAATTGGCCTCCTCAGTTACCACCGATTATTCGAATTGATCATAATTTACCGTTGTTTGAAGGATGTTTATCTTTGCAGCGCTTTTACAAAGCCGTCGAAACTGACGGTGATCGTCCACCGCCGGAACTTTCACGTGGATTCTTTGCTTTTCATGGTACAACGAGCGATAGTATTAAGCCGATTTGTACTTTTGGATTCGATCCAAAACGTCGACATGGTCAAGTTCATGGTCCCGGTGAATATTTTGGAGTGACAGCCAACGTATCTGATGGATACTGTCGTGAGACGAATGGTTGCGAAATAAAGACTATGATTGTCGCATTTATTCTTCGTTGTCATTAGTTACGTACCGTCGAAGGTTTTTGTCACGTAATCAACAATCCAATTGATTGGTCTTACGCCTATAATCTACCTGTTCTGATCATTTCATACGGTCACCAGCGAAACGCTCCACTCATATTCGGCAAATATCAGCGACCATCAGTTCACAAAGAAGATTCGATACATATATTACATCGAAACACAACTATGCTATACACAAATATTAGTAGAACGAATTCAATTGGAGCAGGTGCCAATACTGTCGGATTGAACATAATTCCATTAAATTCATCTGCAAATACAAGTAGAGTAAGCACTAATAGCATCAGACTAAACACAACTCCATTCGATGCAAACGCCAGTGGAGCAACTACCAATCCCATCCGACCAAATTCAACACCATCAAGTACAAATACAGCGAATTCATATACAACCGTCTCTCCTATTAATACATCAAATATTCACACAAATGTACAAAGCACAAACAAAAATTCCAGTCCAAAACATGACAAAAAGCTATTAGATCGCTGTGTCATCAGTTAAAAATACTCATTTTGTTCTTGTCAACAATTTGATCTGTACTTACTAATTTTGAATTCCTCGTAAATCAACGAAACCTATAGTGCAATATGCTTTTTATCTTTATTCGCTTGAACCATCTATATATTGACCGGAAACGGCAATAATGCAGACAAAGAATATCAGTGGGTCAATATATAAGGAGAACAACAGGTCTTTTATTATTCTGCTTCTATATATCCTATGAAAAGTTGATTTATTTGACATATGATGAGTCTGGAGTCATTAGCCAATGAATTGCTCTTAAATTTATTCGAATATTTCAATGGTGCAGATCTGTTTCGTGCATTTTACAATGTAAATATTCGATTCAATACTCTTCTCATTCGACATTTTCGAACTCATAGTTTCAATTTTCATTTTTCACCTAAAAAAGACTTTGACATCAATTGTCAACAATTCCTTCCACTCATATCACAACAACTTGTTGCCCTTCATCTTTCAAATACCGACGCGACTCCATCTCAACTAGATTTATTTCTATTGAATCATTTACCTCTTAATCAATTTACTCAATTACGATCTTTATCCTTTCATTACATTTGTTCAAATCAACTATTAAACAAAGTCGTGTGTCAATGTCATTCGCTTCATCAGTTAATCTGTTGTCGTTTTATTGAATGTTATTTTAAATTTTATGATGAATCTCATTATAACGCCTTTAAAGCTCTTTGGTCTCTACCAAAATTGACTCATTGTCTATTAGATTTCCGATTTGTTCATGACAAACAAATATTTATTCCGCAAATTGTCTCTGAATCTCTTAAATACGTCTCAATCCCACATATTCACTGGCAATGGAATGAATTCATTAAATTATTACGTTGTACACCAAATATTCTTCATTTCGATGTTTGTGTACCTGAGTTGATCAACGGAATTCAATCGAAACTCTCCGCTTCATCTCTTTCAGCATTACAACTCTCTGTCACTAATTCATCTCAAACAATGTTCAGTCTCTTACAAAAGACACCGAATTTATCGTGTTTAATAGTGAAAACGACAAGTTTAATTATCGATGGTTCTCAATGGAAACGAATTCTTGTTAACAATTTGTCCAAACTGAAGGAACTCGCATTTTTTATGCGAGATCAATTCAGGTTGAATGATAATTCAGAAGAAACGGTTGATCTTTTGCTTAAATCATATAGTAGTTCATATTGGATTGTTGATCGTCAATGGTTCGTTCGAAGTCAATGGACACCGAATGATCCTGAAAGCGAAATTTTCCTTTACACCCTTCCTGATCGTTCGAATTATTCGATAGTTCAACCATCGAATTGTACTATTCGTACTAAATCCACTAATCCATCGGAACACGATTACGACAAAGTATCATTTCTGACAGATCTCATGTCGCACGCGTACTTTTCTCGCCTTCGTCATCTTCATTTAACATTACCTTTTACTAATGTTCTGTTAACCAATTTACCCCAATTTGATCAATTGGTCACTCTACAAATCGGATGTTTTCCATTAATTGATGGTAATATGGCTGTTTATCAATTACAGAAATTGATCGATCGTGCTCCTCATCTCTATTCATTCGAGGTATTAGCCTGGTTTCCATTGATCGTTCAAGAGATTCCACTACATCTCTTCAGTCATTCGATTCGATCACTTCAATTTCAAAATGCATGTTGCTCAATTAATAAAACAACAACTTATTTCACTGCGAACAAGTGTTACGATTTAATCCATTCGCCATTAGGTGTTCATTGTGAATTTCTTTCATTGCATGTACAAACGCGAACGAGCATACTTGATCTGGTTCATGGATTATCGAATCTTCGCACGTTGAAAGTGTCCTGTGAAGATGATCAATGGGGATGTCGAACGACAACATCATTCAGCAATGATGAGTTGATTCAATGGTTAGAAACTCGTTTATCATGTGTGATCAGTAGAGACAAACGATTCCAAACATTCATTCGCCTATGGATTCGTTAAGAGACCAGAAACACATTTTCTTTTGTTTGGTTTTGTGTTGTTGATCTGTTGTTGTGATAGAAATAATTCATAAAAATACTCAAGTTGACAGGAAGGTCTGTGTATAGCAACTTTTACGTTTTTCTCGAAATCATGCGATTTCCCAACGATTCGATAGTCAGACTTCTGAGCGAATTCGTTATCAGAAACTCTATCGAATTTCGTTCACTTGAGTTAAAGACATTCATTCTAAATCAAAACGCTTTCTGTTCTTTCTTCCGTCATTTCATTGTTCAAACTAAATATCGCACTTTTTTTTGCATTCATTCAGTACTGAAAAGTCAATTAAGATCTTTGAAAGGGTTAATCCAAGTGTATTTATCAAATGGAATAAACAGAAAAATCCGAAATCATATAGAGTCGTGCAAGCGGCTACAATACGTTGTATTCATGGAAAGGATAACATCACAGTACGACGAATCGATTTGTTTGAATAAGTGAAAGAAAAAAAAATCTAAATTCAATGCGATTTTGATATATCTCAGACGTTCGTGATAGAAATAGTGAGTTTGTGCACGGATACTTACTTTGGAGGCAAATAGAAAATGGCGGGTTCAGAATTTCCTTCGCGTGATCGAACGAGGAAAACTTTGCAAAACGGTTTAACTATAGTATTAAATCACATTTAGTCGCACGACTGAAAATCATATTCGAAATAAATGTAGAAGAATGTGTACAACATCCATTTGATCGAATTTTCACTGTAGAAATACGTCGCATATGAAAAGAGAAAACTCGGATTGGAAAACATTAAAATGAAAGAAAAGTCACACAGAAGTGCAAAGAATGCTACTCTTCATGTTGCGTCAGCATTCAACGCATTGTAAAGAAATATCAAGTTGTGACCGAAAGAATTTCATTTTCTAAGCATTATTCATGTGCATCACAAGATTGAATAGCTATTCGTTTTAATCGTTACAGTACTATTCATCTATGTTTGTTTATTCTCATCCATTATTGTTCGTATTTCAGTGACATATCCTTGTCTTTTTCTAGAAAATATTCGTACACAGATATCATATATTATAAATGACTAAGACAGAAAAGAAAACTTTGTCGCACATTACTCCTCAACACTCGACTGATTAGTCAAAATAAATGAACATATTTGAAAGAGAACTGATGAACAGACTGTTGGTATTGTAAAATGTGAAATATATTGATTTCGTGTGACATAACGTCTTGTTGAACTCCATTCAATGTTTGATTAGCTGATCATAAAGTGTGAATTATTCATAAAATATGAACATCATCAATCGTCGACTGATAAAATACTAAAATCAGAAGGTTAGCAACTCCATTCTTGAAATCCACTTAATGTCAATTTATTTCTTTGAATACGTTGCATGTAAATTTGAGTTAAATTCATTATTCATTCATATCAAGGAAATGCTTTGCGTCATGTTTTCATACATTCAATTTGTACATTTTATCAAAATGCGTTAAATGTACATGTATTGCAAAATACTCACTTTCTTAAATGGTTTTATGTCATTCAAGTAAATTTGATACACATCAGAATTGAAATTTTTATGATTTGATTTATTTAGAAAAGTATTCCAAGTCCCCGTTCATGGTGTCTAATACTTCCTTTTCTACGTTATGTTGAGCTGAACTTCGAAGAAAATCCTTACACGTCTGGCATAATATATTACGGAACTCGATCCACGCCGATTTCTCATCGTTCCATTCTTCTGGAACAAATTCGTATCAATGCGCCGTCTCTTCAATGTCTGACACTTTCATGGGATGATATTTTACTTCTAGAATCGGGCTTACCTTGATCCTCTTTAGATCAGTTAAATATCCGTCTAAGTGTTAGGAGACAGGATGTGCCAGATGAATCGCTCTTAGGACGTGTGGTAATAGGCAAAGCTTTTCCTCAATTGCGATATCTTTCATTTGGTCGACGTCGCTTCAGACTCCCACCTCCAGAAGTGATGGCTCAACGAGTTTTATCGTGGTTCGATATTCTCATACCGTCATTATCAACGCTTTCCATCTTTCATGTTAACAAACGCTGTTGCTATTATCGATCTAAACCAAAATCAGCTATTGGCACACTCATGACACTTATCAGACATGTTCATTTAAATAATCCATCGGCTCATGTAGTCATTGATTCAAATGAAGACATTATTATTTGGCTTTGAGATTGAATTAAGAAAGAATTCTCATATAAAATAGACTAAAAAGCTTTTATTTATATCTCGAATAACGAGCAATTATGAAAATAAATATCTTCTTCATATAGAGTCGTTTTTATCAGATGAGAATGAAAGAAAACAAATCGAACATGTGTTAGAAATGAATCTTTTGAATTACAAAATATCTTTTGGGAAAAACTATAGAAGTCGAATATCATTCTTGTCATATTGAAACTGAATTTATCATCATTACCCAGGTCAACAAATCCGATGCTGGATCCGATCGGATCTGACCATCTGACAAAATCCGATCGGATTCCAAGAAACGGAATTGCATTGGAATCCGACTAGAAAAATCCCGTCGGTTGGTGCAAATTTTACGAGCGATCTTTTCAGCTATGTTCTATGATGACCCTTAGAAAATCCAGGAAATCCATGTTTCGGATCCGACATGGGATCCGAGTATGGGATTGTTCGACCTGGGTATCAACGTGAATGTTGAAAACTTTCAATTATTATGTGTTATTGATAATTCTGTGCAACGAAGGAAACAGCAAACCTTAGGAGTGGAAAAATATTCGCTCTGATTGAGTTTTCACATAATATTGGGATCCGTTACCGTGTTGATTGTCTGATATAAGCGGACTAGATCGAGATTTTTTCTTTCATTTTCATCATGTCGTTTTTTGAAGACATGATCAATAAGCAAAAGAGACTTTCATCTCGCGCGTTTATTTTCGATTGAAATTGTTTTGAACTTGCCATTTATTCATTGATAAGAACTCAATCTCGCTCGGCTGTAACTTTCGAAAGATCGTTTAATAGGACATTTGAGCTTTAATTACATGTCAACAAGAACTAATTTGTGCCGTGTTGAATATGATCAAAAGCGAATGAAAGTGGAAAATATTTCGAAATGACATCTTCAGAAATTAGAACGTTTGTTTTTCGCCTGGATTGGATGTTTTGACACTAGTCGAATTTGACCAGTCACTGACCAGCGTTTATTTCGTTGGACTCTTCACTGAATTACATTGATTTCTTTTCAACTTCTTCTTTACTTATTCAATTGACAAATGACAGAAAATAAATATATTGGAAAAATAGAATATATTGTAGATTGTTTGCAGATCAACAGTTGGCATATCGATACGTAATGTGGAANCTATAGTATTAAATCACATTTAGTCGCACGACTGAAAATCATATTCGAAATAAATGTAGAAGAATGTGTACAACATCCATTTGATCGAATTTTCACTGTAGAAATACGTCGCATATGAAAACAGAAAACTCGGATTGGAAAACATTAAAATGAAAAAGTCACACATAAGTGCAAAGAATGCTACTCTTCATGTTGCATCGGCATTCAACGCATTGTAAAGAAATAACAAGTTGTGACCGAAAGAATTTCATTTTCTCAGCATTATTCATGTGCATCACAAGAGTGAATTGCTATTCGTTTTAATCGTTACAGTACTATTCATATATGTTTGTTTATTCTCATCGATTATTGTTCGTATTTCAGTGACATATCCTTGTCTTTTTCTAGAAAATATTCGTACACAGATATCATATATTATAAGTGACTAATACAGAAAAGAAAACTTTAGTCGCACATTACTCCTTAACACTCGACTGATTAGTCAAAATAAATGAACATATTTGAAAGAGAACTGATGAACAGATTGTTGGTATTGTAAAATGTGAAATATATTGGTTTCGTGTGATATAACGTCTTGTTGAACTCCATTCAAAGTTTGATTCACTGATCATAAAGTGTGAATCATTCATAAAATGCGAACATCATCAATCGTCGACTGATAAAATACTAAAATCAGAAGGTTAATAATTCCATTTTTGAGATCCACTTAATGTCAATTTATTTCTTTGAATACTTTGCATGTAAATTTGAGTTAAGTTCATTATTCATTCATATCAAGGAAATGCTTTGCGTCATGTTTTCATACATTCAATTTGTACATTTTATCACAATGTGTTAAATGTACATGTACACTCAAAAGTATCTTTCTGTCATCATGATTTCATAAAATTACTGAACGAAAATATCTATCCATTTCTTCACGAACGATAGATACAAAGCGAATTAGTTGACTCGTGCAAATCAACTGCAAGGAATTAGTGAGTTCGATTCACAGTTCTTTGAAAAAAAAATATAAAAAACAATTAGCATTCACATTCACATGAAAACAGTGTGGATAAACTCTACATGAACGTCTCCCGTATCTTGAATGATCCTTTTAGAAGAGTATAGCTTTTCATGAAATATTAGGTTGTAAAAAATATCTTGATAGGGAGATCCTGCCATATTTCCTGGTGTTAACTCAGACAGGATTTCTATCATCCGAAACTGTCTTAGTGTCTTTCAAAGCTAAACAACGACCTGCAGTTATCGGTGTCCGAATCAATTGTAATAGAGCACGCGTAGCAAGTAATATAATCACGTCTCGATAGTAATTGGACAACGTCCAATGAACGTTGAAATATGATCTTATTCCTTTTTCTTTCCCCACTGACGTTCACTATCATACTGAAACAGAGAGAATTGAAATGAATAGCAAGAAACACTGTTGTATGTCGTGTACGGACGAGCATTGTCTATCCGTCATAATATATAGTCAATGTTTTTTCAATACGAAACGTTCAACGTCGATGACCGTCACCAGACTAGAAGATTTACCTAGTGAACTTTGGCTCGAGCTTTTCTCTTATTTCACTTGGTTCCAGTTGAACTCAACATGGGTTGAGTGGCGACTCAACAATCGTATTCACAAATTAGCTCTTCTCGCACAATCTCGTGTTGCTTTTGAAATAACACCAATGTTATTAAGAACATGGGATCAATGTTTAAGTTATTTCGAACATCAACATTCGACGATGGCACATCGTATAACTTCCCTTGTGCTCGATGAACCAATTCTGTCACGTGAAATAATTCGACGGTGGATGGAAAACGATTCTTCATTTTTTCCACGCATTCGTCGATGCACAGTTTTTGTCGAACTCATTGGTCACAATATGTTATCTAATCTCATTCGATTAATTCATCAAAACAAATCAACTCTTCATAGTCTTGTGATGTATTTCAATCGGCTAGATGACTATGAATACACATTAAGAGAAATCATCTCGCATGACGTCTCTGTACACACAATGAAGTTGATGTTTGTGGAAGGTAAGAGAACACATTCGTGTGATTATTGGTTGGATTTCCTGAACTCGAAAGTAGAATAGATGAGTGGTTAATTCTCGAGCGAAAACATTCGATTTAAAAAATCTTGATTCGAACTCTAAAACATGATGCGTTTTGGAAAAGAATGACTATAAAATCGAGATGGAATAACACATAATTCTGATTGGTCTATTTTTTGTTTTAGATGGTCGACACTATTGTGAAAATCGTTTATCTTCTAATACATTCTTTGATATTCCTTCTCATTTGGTCGCCTTTCTTCATACTGTGTCTTTCCGACTTTCATTGCGACGAATAGCCGATTTATTGATTCTCATACAACACTGTAGTTTACCACGCGTCCAATATCTTCATGTTACAGTCGAAAAGTCATTTCGCAAGTGGAACGAAAGGACTCGTCAATATGAGGAACTACCTTGTTATAAACTTTGTTCGAATGACTTTCATTCTAGTTTATTTGATTTACCAGATTTACGCACTTTTCATTTGCAACAAGTTTCTATGAGTGACATTATCGTTTTAATTCAACATCTTGCATCAATAGTTCGACTAGAGTCACTTACCGTGGTCAATTCCAATGTCAAAGGTATGCGAAACATACTCGAACAGTTATGATGATTGTGTAGATTATCTTCTATTAATTGAGAACATATTTCATTATAGTTTTTTTTTTCGTTTATTGTGTAGATCGAGACGAGTTGAACATATTCAAAACCAGCATGAAAACTCGCCTGTATTGTCTACGTAAACTTAAATTTATTCTTAATCTACCTGATGATACAGTATTCGAGGATGATGATCTCTATTGGTTCAATCTGGGCCATCGTGGTATTCAATATGAAATTGATAAGAATGAGACAGAATCAAAAATTGTTCTTTACACACTTCCATACTCACTCAACTGTCAACGGCAAGTGCGCAACAATGCATTTATACAACATTCACAAATTGAACGTAAGATCGACTACATTCAGTGGGTAGTCGATGATGATCCGTTATCAATCGAAAATAGTCTTGTCTATTTGCAAAATACTCACTTTCTTAAATGGTTTTATGTCATTCAAGTAAATTTGATACGCATCAGAATTGAAATTTTTACGATTTGATTTATTTAGAAAAGTATTCCAAGTCCCCGTTCATGGTGTCTAATATTTCCTTTTCTACGTTATGTTGAGCTGAACTTCGAAGAAAATCCTTACACGTCTGGCATAATATATGACGGAACTCGATCCACGCCGATTTCTCATCGTTCCATTCTTCTGGAACAAATTCGTATAAATGCGCCGTCTCTTCAATGCCTGACACTTTCATGGGATGATATTCTACTTCTAGAATCGGGCTTACCTTGGTCCTCTTTAGATCAGTTAAATATCCGTCTAAGTGTTAGGAGACAGGATGTGCCAGATGAATCGCTCTTAGGACGTGTAGTTACAGGCAAAGCTTTTCCTCAATTGCGATATCTTTCATTTGGTCGACGTCGCTTCAGACTCGCACCTCCAGAAGTGATGGCTCAACGAGTTTTATCGTGGTTCGATATTCTCATATCGTCATTATCAACGCTTTCCATCTTTCATGTTAACAAACGCTGTTGCTATTATCGATCTAAACCAAAATCAGCTATTGGCACACTTATGACACTTATCAGACAACATGTTCATTTAAATAATCCATCGGCTCATGTAATCATTCATTCAAATGAAGAAATTATTATTTGGCTTTGAGATTGAATTAAGAAATAATTCTCATATAAAATAGACTGAAAAGCTTTTATTTATATTTCGAATAATGAGCAATTATGAAAATAAATATCTTCATATAGAGTCGTTTTTATCAGATGAGAATGAAAGAAAACAAATCGAACATGTGTCAGAAATGAATCTTTTGAATTATAAAATATCTTGTAGGAAAAACCAGAAGTCGAATATCATTATCGTCAAATTGAAACTGAATTTATCATCATTATCAATGTGAATGTTGAAAACTTTCAATTATTATGTGTTATTGATAATTCTGTGCAGCGAAGGAAACAGCAAACCTTAGGAGTGGAAAAATATTCGCTCCGATTGAGTTTTCACATAATATTGGGATCCGTTACCGTGTTGATTGTCTGATATAAGCGGACTAGATCGAGATTTTTTCTTTCATTTTCATCATGTCGTTTTTTGAAGAAATGATCAATAAGCAAAAGAGACTTTCATCTCGTGCGTTTATTTTCGATTGAAATTGTTTTGAACTTGCCATTTATTCATTGATAAGAACTCGATCGCCCTCGGCTGTAGCTTTCGAAAGATCGTTTAATAGGACATTTGAGCTTTAATTACACGTCAACAAGAACTAATTTGTGCCGTGTTGAATATGATCAAAAGCGAATAAAAGTGGAAAATATTTCGAAGTGACATCTTCAGAAGTTAGAAAGTTGGTTTTTCGCCTGGATTGGATGTTTTGACACTAGTCGAATTTGACCAGTCACTGACCAGCGTTTATTTCGTTGGACTCTTCACTGAATTACATTGATTTCTTTTCAACTTCTTCTTTACTTATTCAATCGACAAATGACAGGAAATAAATACATTGGGAAAATAGAATCTATTGTACTTGTTTGTAGATCAACAGTTGGCATGTCGATTCGTAATGTGGAAATAGGAGAAGCATTACACGACAAATCACAATTGGCAACCAAAGGCGTTTTCACTTGTGTGGCTGTTTTAATCTTTCTACAAGATGATGGATTATTCCTCGCTCACATTGGTTCTGAGATCTTCGACATCGGTGGAAAGGATCCATTAGTTGAAGTACAACGTATTATTGAGAATGCAATCATTATGTTCGATACCAATCATAAAGACACAGTTCCCGAAAGTATCTTTTTAATGGGCGGTGTCCAAAACAAAGAATATGTCAAATTGAACGATGCTCTTACAGATTGGAGACTTTCTCCTTCAATAATTGGGCCAAGCTGTGAAATAATATCGTCTCAACGTCTACGAACATTCATTGAGAAGATCAAATACCACAATTTGTGCATAAATTTTATTGAAAACTCCATTTCCGTTGGTGATATTATCGATTCGACTTGGATATCTGACGTTTCCATCGTCTGCAACAAGATATTAACGTCACCTCTAATTGCAATTTGTCACAATACTTTAGAAAAGATTCTGAAATAGATGGGGAACGGGTGTCTTATAGTTCAACAGTCATCTACGTTTTCGATTTTTCACGCGACGAACCACATGCGTTCATTTGTTCAACTCGTGATCCATCTCCATTCATCGTCCACGTTATCCACAGATCAGAGATCAATAGAGCCTCACTTGATATTGTCTATTTCTTCTGTTAAAGTTAGGTTTTTTTCCAAAATAAATCATTTGATGATTCATCGATATTGTCACATTCAAGATATTGTCATCAACATTTTAACTAAATGAAACAAAGTTTATTTACAGGTAACACGGCCTAGTATAGCCGCTAAACCCTCTATCGAAAGAATAATGTTATAATTAGAGCGCTACTATTCGTCCAAAGAGAGAAAAAAGTTATTTCAGTTGAACGATCTGATCATTTGATAATTTGTCAGAGTGTTTTACGTAGACTAATTTCGCTTCTTGAAATCTTCCGAAATTATAACGCTTAGTCGTGACATGTACATTTTCACTCTTCCATTTAGTCTAGAGCCACTTTTGAAACTAATCCGTTCATTCTCTTCTATTCCTTCTTTGAAGTCACCCTCTTTGTGCTACTGTGACTGTCGAAGCAACACCTGACAAGCGAAACATTATTCTGAATGACTGGTATCAGATGAGATTCGTATAGTATACCTTTTTATAAAAGTGTGCGATCTCATTAATATGCTGATGGCTATGGAGATCCAGCGATCGGACGTCAGTCAGCTAGTTACATTTTATTTTACATATTGCCGCTTAAAACATTATCGTCTAAAAAAATTGATCCTTTGTCGCAAAAAAAACGGGCCAGCAAGTGTTCATGAAAAAACTAATACCGGATTCGAGATCCTCGACCTCGATTACCTTCCGGTCAAACTTTGTTTTCCACTAGGGTCACTAAGTAGTCACTATCGAACAGTGATGTGAAAGAACGAACCAACCAACCAACATCAACTCGTTTTTTTTGAAATACCTGCTCGACGCATAACCCTCCTTTCAGTAGAGGGAATAAAACTTGAAATATCTGTAAGAACTGACTGAACTCTCAGAAAAAGAAGGAATAAAATTTATAAATTCTCATTGACAATCACTATTTTTTCCTAATTCAACAACAATATGTTTGAAGACGATGAGAGAGAGAATAGTTCTTTCATAACATCAATGGATGTGTCAAAGTCAATCTGAGTTTTATCTGCATTCAAGACAACCACTTCAAGCGTTTCCATGTCATCACATGAAATAGATGATTCTTCAAACAATTTGTGGATCAATGACGAAGTCAATCGTACAATCACAGTATGCTCTTGAACAGGTCAGATAGCATCAACTAATCGGATGAAATTCAAAATGCGTTTGTTTCATTCATGTTCATCAGAAATAGTTCTTTTGCCAACGTCTGTACCAACCAAATAGTGATAACTGTGTACTGTTTTCAAGTAAACCAAATGAACGACATGTAAGAAAATGGAGACGTTCTATTTTCATTGAATGACTAATCATTGAAATGATTTGATTCTTGCTGCTGATTACTATTGATAATCGTTACAGCGACAGGAAGGTTTGTTTTGGGATGAGGTACAACATATCGATGTTTTTGATTGCAAAGAGCTAATGAAGTTGTTGAACTGACAGAGTTATGACAGACACCTTTTCTGTCCACAAGAACAAAGTCAGTTCGACGTAATTCAGGAATGATTTCTCTCTCATCCAAAGTAGTTGACCATCTGATGTACAAAGGGTTTGAAACGATTGTTGCATGTGATCTTTTGATAGAGTGAACGAACTATCTGGTTTTTCCCAAAGACCATTTATTGCTTTTGTAAGAAAAAAGCGTAATTGTTGATAGTAAGTGTTTTCAGCCAAAAATTAATCTGTTGCTACGTTGATGATAGATCAAAAACGGTTGTCTGGTGAAGATTTTCATCATTTCTAAGATTGATTTCGCATTGCATACGATCGACTGCTATGAGAATCGGTTTTTCTTTGTGATTTCTGATCAGATCATTCACACTCACATCTTCGATATACGTTTCAAGTCGATCATAGAAACAGAAATATGTCTCAGCTCTCATATCTGCCAGTTGATTAACATGTATAAAACATTTTCTGATTAATGTCACTATTCAATTGTTGATTGCCAAAATTGAAATTGAATGCAAATCAACTCTTTTCTTTCCACACTTTGATAAACAAGACATGTTAACTTCGTTGAACGAAACTATTCCTTGTCAAAATCGATGTATATTTCATTTTTGTCGATGAGTGCACTTTGATCACGGTGATGATCGAGTACTTTTCTTAGAGTTTCTTGTTTTTTTTTGTCACAAATCCCATTCCTTTATTCCATCACAACTACTGATCGTTTGTTTGTGCACTTAAGTCGAGAGTAAATCATCTTGTTTGTCCTCCATTTAACAACGATGAAGATAAAATTTGTTTTATCTCAAGTTTAAAGAAGAAACAGTTTGTCAACACAGCTCCTTTGAGACTGAAATGTGAAACTTATCTGCTTATTTTCTGAGAAGGAGACTGTGAATGACAATAGAATATTCACAAATTAAACTCAATTTCAATTTACCACACTTTGGTTGACTGGTGACTCTTCAAATGGGACGTTTTCCATTGATCGTTCAAGAGATTCCACTACATCTCTTCAGTCATTCGATTCGATCACTTCAATTTCAAAATGCATGTTGTTCAATTAATAAAACAACAACTTATTTTACTACGAACAAGTGCTACGATTTAATCCATTCGCCATTAGGTATTCATTGTGAATTTCTTTCATTGAATGTACNACTGAATTACATTGATTTCTTTTCAACTTCTTCTTTACTTATTCAATTGACAAATGACAGAAAATAAATATATTGGAAAAATAGAATATATTGTAGATTGTTTGCAGATCAACAGTTGGCATATCGATACGTAATGTGGAAATAGGAGAAGCATTACACGACAAATCACAATTGGCAACCAAAGGTGTTTTCACTTGCGTGGCTGTTTTAATCTTTCTACAAGATGATGGATTATTCCTCGCTCACATTAGTTCCCAGGTTATTATAGCACGGTCGGTTCCGGCCGGTTAGGTTCGTTTTCCGACCATTTCCTTGCCACCGGATTCCGGTCGGAAGTTCAAACGTAGGTTCCAGTCATTTCCTGTGCAATTCCGGCGGCAAGGAACCTTCTGGAATCGTCGATAACTGTGCCGGATCCGACTCAGATTTCAACGGATCCAGTCGCCGGAATGGTCGACCTCGGTTCTGAGATCTTCGACATCGGTGGAAAGCATCCATTAGTTGAAGTACAACATATCATTGAGAATGCAATCATTATGCTCGATACCAATCATAAAGACACAGTTCCCGAAAGTATCTTTTTAATGGGCGGTGTCCAAAACGCAGAATATGAAAAATTGAACGATGCTCTCACAGATTGGAGGCTTTCTCCTTCAATAATTGGCCCAAGCTGTGAAATAATATCGTCTCAACGTCTACGAACATTCATTGAGAAGATCAAATACCACAATTTGTGCATAAATTTCATTGAAAACTCCATTTCCGTTGGTGATATTATCGATTCGACTTGGATATCTGATGTTTCCATCGTCTGCGACAAGACATTAACGCCACCTCTGACTGCAATTTGTCAATACTTCGGAAAAGATTCTCAAATGGATAAGGATCGGGTGTCTAGTCCAACAGTCATCTACATTTTCAATTTTTCACGCGACGAACCACATGCGTTCATTTGTCCAACTCGTGATCCATCTCCATTCGTTCTTAACATTATCCACAAAATCAACGTGAAAGTTGACGAAAAGTCACCTAGCACAAATCTTTTCGTTAATCTTATTGATCATGTAATCCATGATTTAATTCCACAGATCAGAGATCAATAGAATCTCACTTGATATTTTCTATTTCTTCTGTTAAAGTTAGGTTTTTTTTTTCAAAATAAATCATTTTATGGTTCATCGATATTGTCATCAATACTTTAACCAAATGAAACAAAGTTTATTTATAAAACTTGAAATATCTGTAAGAACTGATTGAACTCTCAGAAAAAGAAGGAATAAAATTTATAAATTCTCATTGACCATCACTATCTTTTTCTTAATTCCGCAACAATATATTTGAAGACGTTGAGAATGAGAACAGTTCTTTCATAACATCAATGGATGTGTCGAAATCAATCTGAGTTTTATCTGCATTCAAGACAACCACTTCAAATCTTTCCATGTCATCACATGAAATCGATGGTTCTTCAAACAATTTGTGGGTCAATGACGAAGTCAATCGTACAATCACAGTATGTTCTTGAACAGGTCAAATAGGATGAACAAATCGAATGAAATTCAAAATGCGTTTATGCTTCGTTCATATGTTCATCGGAAATAGTTCTTTCGCCAACGTCTGTATCAACCAAATAATGATAACTGTGTACTGTTTCCAAGTACACCAAATGAACGATATGTAAGAGAATAGAAACCTTCTATCGTCATTGAATGACGACAATGGAAATGATTTGATTCTTGCTGTTAATTATAATTGATAACCGTTATAGCGACAGGAAGATTTGTTTTAAGACGAGATAAAACATATCGATGTTTTTGATCGAAAAAGAGTTATTGAAATTGTTGCACTGACAGAATCATGTCATTAGGTGAATAAATGTCATTAGAGAACAGTTTTTTGAATTCAAAAAATTAGTAAAAACTATATTCCCAATAAGAACATTTCAGGTAAAACGTATGGGTCAGCACAATTATTTTACGATGAGTTACAATCTACTGATGCACACTCGAATTTGCAAAAGTATGTGCATAAATTTCGAATGAAATCTTCTAACACATAGACATTATTAACAACTTCAAACAGATTGCAAAGCATCTCTACAATTTTTATCGAATTACTTCGATGTACCGGTAGGATTTTCGTACGAATCCGTCAAGCAAGAACCCTATTGAATTTCGTTAATCTAAGCCAATCATATTTACTCTAAATGCACACATGTAGAAATGTTTTCTTTTTTTTCTTTCATCATTTAATTGTTCGAACTCAATATTGTACTTTTTTTGTGTTCATTCAGTAATGAAAAGCACATTAAACTCTTAATAAAAATAAATTCAAGTTTATTTATCGACGGAATAAATGTAAAAGATTAAGATGATATACTATAAGCGGTATAATAAGAAGTTGCGTTCGTGGAAGAGTTACATCGTAATACGACGAATCGAATTATATGAATAAATGAAAGAAAAACATCTAAACACAATATCGATTTAATAAATCTAAGATATTCGTAATAGTAACATTGAGATTTCATGCATGGATACTTAATCCAGAGATAGTTGAGATCAAGCGTTTTTGCTTGAATTTAGTTGACAATTACAGCAGTGTGTTCATTCGTTGGTTGCTGATAGTTTTCTTCGCATGATTGACAAGAAAAATTTGGTAGAACGATCAAACTACATTGTTAAATGTTATTGTGATCGCATAATTTAGAATCGATTTCAAAATAGATGTAAAAGAATGCGTACGGCAACCATTTTTCGGATATTTTCTATAGGGATATGTTGCATATTAAAAGAAAAAAAACCGGAGTGGAAGACATTAAAATGAAAGAGAAGTGCTCAAGAGTAAAGGATGCCGCTCTTCGTGTCGCATCAGAATTCCACTCAGTGGAAAGAAATGCCAACTTGTGACTGAGAAAATTTTATTTTCTAAGCATTATTATTCGTGTGCAACACAAGAGAGTAGATCGCAGACACCATTAACATCTCCTATACTTTAACGAGAGTAATGCCAATGAATAACACAACCGTAATGACAACCAACGTTGAATGGTGGTTGATTTTGATAGATGTGTTAATGATCATATCAACGGTTTCAGCGGTTCTACTTGCTATTGTTTTTACAATTATGGTTTTGATGTATCGAACATGTCGAACAGTTTCGATGATGTTTAGCAGTAATTCATGTCTTGCAGAGATTCTTTTTGGATCTACGATGGCAAATATGGCGGTGTTTTCATTCGAGAATGATCGACAACAGAAAGCTTATCAAGATTCACTTTGTACATTACGTGGATATTTGGGCTACGTAGGGTGTGGTTTGTTTTTTTATTCGTGTGCTTTACAAACAATTTATCGATATATTGTCATTGTTCATCCAACTCGTCTATCTTGGCAATCAGCTCGAGTTCAACTCATCGCCATATCTTTTATGTGGTTATATTGTTTCTTAACAATGTTTCCTTGGCTTTTAACTGGTGACATTACATATAGTGTCGTCGATCAAATATGTTTAGTCCCATTACGTTTATCAGTGCCTATTGTATACAACATGTTAGTGCTTTATGTGATCCCGATGTCAATGATAATCATTATCTATATGAAACTTGTTCATCATATGCATAAAATAAGTACTCGTGCAACATCAGCTAAAACTGTATTTCAAATTCGTCGTCATTTCATCGTTGTTTGTCGAATTGTCATCATAGTTGTCATTCTACTTATTTTGAGTATACCATATACAGTCTTCAATTTTATGTCTTTCTTTACAAAACCACCAAAATATCATTTACGTATCGCAATTTTAGTACTTGATATATCTCAACCATTGACAATGGTAATTATTTTCGTATTGAGCCAACCAGTTATGGATATCATAAAGAAATGGAGATTGTTGCCGATGAATACTATTCACCCTACAATAACATGAAACAAATTTATCCATTTTCAATAGAATATTCATCGTCAACATTGAATCTACGCAGAACAAACTCGCTTCTTGTTCTTGTTTGAAACTGAAAGATGTCATCAATAAATAATCAGTTTTTGCCTACACCTCTGTTTTAAGAGACAGTCTTTTGTATTCTTTTTTTAGGGATATTTTAAGTGCAGCTGTGTCCTTGAAGAACAACACATACTCAAAACATATGAAAAAGACACGAGAAATCTACTCGCATTCAAAGATCAAACTTTTTCATTATCCATTAGTGAAATTCCTTCGAAAAAAGTCATGGTCATCTCAGCCTATATACGACGTCTTGTTGAGTTATTTCACATAATAATGCATCGTTTTCAAAACGATTCGATTGAAATTAATTTTTCTTCCATAATCTCGTTTTAAGAATTCTTTTCCTTAGAAATCTGAATCTTGCAAAGCGTTTGCTCGCGCTTCAATGATTACTTTTAAAAAGATTAGAAAATACGTAGGTTGAAACATCTCACAATTGAATGGCTTATTCGTTTTAATCGTTACCGTGCTATTCATTGAATTAATGATTGATAGATTTCATTTCTTTTCTATTGTTATTCGTCTTTCAATGATATACACTTGTCTTTGTTCTTAAAAATACTCGGCTTGTATTTAATTGCTCAGTAGTTTATACCTAATGTTCAGTGATTTATTTTCATAAACTTCTCAGTGCCTCTTGCTCAGTAAAACAATTTGTGTTGCAATGGAAATAGTTCTAAATCTCAGGAGATTAATCAGTAAAAGTTCAGTATTCAATGGTTTTTTGCTCAGTTAAGAAATGTTATCTGCACAGTATTTTAGTCTCTTTATTTCCGTAAAATAACACCATTTCAAGCAATAGCAAATTATTGAACTAATAATGCTTTTTTGGCTTTTGATGGCCATTCACGACGTCTTTCTCACCAATTGGAACATCGTTAGCATCAGTTAGCGGCTTGCATAGGTTTAGTCTGATAGCCATTCCAGTGACAAATTTACAAATAAACTTTTTAAAAAATGCTGGACAATTGTAAGTGCCTTCGACCAATTTTATTTTATCGATCAGACACCGACGGGACGGGACAAAACTTTATTTTTGTTTGTCCCGCGATCAATTTTTATAATTTATATATTGAGTAGGTGGCTGGTATGTTCATCAATTGATCTTGAACAACAGATGATTGTTTAGCAAACGAATTTTGAGGAGGAGAGTTTGGCGAAAGTTCATTCTTTTCTACAAAGAAAAACCATTTTTTCATACCGATTCGCGAGAGAAGAACGTCATACAATCCAACTTGAGGAAACATCTATGAAACATATCATCTCATCGTTTTTTTTCTCGCTGCTTAATCGCGAACTGTAATTGACTTGTTCGCCAGAAGTCATTGGATAAAAATTTAATGAAGTTGATTGTTTTGCTCCCCACTGGCAATAGAAAGCATTTCTCATAATGATAGTCTGTCTCGAGTTTTGTTCATAAGATAGAGAATGTGAAGCTGAGTTTTAACATCTTTCCATTTGTAATGATATATTACTACCTGTGTATGTGCCGACAGCTAGCTTTGTGCTTTGAGTAGGTAAGTGTTGAACAACGAATAGGGCACTGCCTGCAACTAGAATACCTAGAGCCAATGAACAGGCAGCCAGTTTCTTGAACATTATAAAACCACCAGCGTGAAGTAGTTTTGTTTTTTCCATTGTTGAGTCAAGTGACAATGGAAAATGATTAGCAGTATCATCTGTTGTTAGATCGAGCACTGTTTTCATCTGATACTCTTCCGGCTGTGCAGACGTAGTCATAATTTATCCTTTTCACTCTTGTTTTTTATTCTATCTACAAATAACACTCGAAATTTTATGTCTAACTTTAATTCTTTCTAAAAAATACATACGATGACGTTACACGTAGCAAAAGAGTACATCAAATAAGTGAAGCACGAAATAGACATGCAATCGAGAGAAAACAGGCTCAAATATAAGTGGCAATACACTTGACATGCCACCAGAAGATTAATGATGAGCTATCTTGTTTATTGAATCAACAGTCGATTACTGCATTGGGCGGTAGACGGTATATTCATAGGTGTCTGATTGTGAAATAAGAGGCGAAACAAAATACGATGGGAATCAAAGATCATATCAGTTGATTACATGGCAACAGGGAATGGTGTTCATTAGTATTCATTCTATTAGCTCTCTAACTTTAGAACATCAGCTCTTTTTGTAAGATGATCTATATTTTATTTTCAAGACAGAAGATAAATTCCTTTATTATGATTGCATTACATAAGGAATAAAACGAACCAAAAAAGAAACAGTTGATTTCGAGATAGCGTTCTTTCTCAGCAATGAGAAACATGAGACGAAGAATTGAAGCGAAACAATTTCTACAAGATGATTGAAATCAAATCTAAAACAACTATCGTAATACGAGAGGCGCCGCAACAAATACACTCTAAACACGAGCAATATCCGCCCTACGTAGCGCGGCTTCCACCAAGTCACCGAAAAATGCTCTCCGCTTAGTAAAATGTGCACAATCTAATGTTCAAAACTTCACTTCTTTTTCTTTTAGCCCCACTCGTTAGCATAACCTTAAAAGGCTTCGGCAACTTTTGTTTGATGGTGACAGAAACAGTAGTATAAAGGACGGTAAAGAAGGTGAGACAAGTCGTCATGATGTGCATTTAGACATTGCTCGAATATTCCTGATTAATTGACTATTATCGCTTTGACTTCAAGAAGAAGAGCGGATGACATTAGTCAAATCGTTGTCAACTAACCAAGAGATACAACAAATGTGAAATCGTTCAGCAATATGTTACTTCATTGAACTAAATAAATAATGTGATAGGAAGGATGGCTTTCATAAGAAGAATCTATCTAGAAATACCAAATGATCGGATAACTAGAACACTAAAAAATATTGGTTTCGAAGTAACGAAAATTCTTCAATTAACAGGCAAAGATGTAAAAGCAGCGGTATAATAGTTGAATATATCACTTCTTTCTCTACACATATATGCACATGATCATCGCATCTTGTGGGTCAGTTCTTCTCTTTCCTTAACAAGAATAAACGTAGCGAAGTTCGAAGGAGCTGGCAACTTCATGTTTACACTCCACTATCAAGATACGAAAAACTTACATATTTACTGAAAACTAATACATGTATACTGGTGATCGTTTGTTTATAGACATGGAAGTTTTGCAGCTGGTTAGGAATTTTTTATCAGTTTCACTTCTTCCCGATCATTTCGACGATGATACAATGTTAGACTTTTCAGTGGCAAAACTAATGAACTGGCAATTCACAGATCCGTTTACAAACTTTTTAGTCGTCTTCATAAATGAAAGTTGTTGTACATTCTATAAATTGCCACATATCAGACATTAAAGAGAACAGAACAGTTCCTTGTTTGCTTTAGATTCAAATTGCTTTTCTTACTTCGTGCCTTTTTGCATATAACAAATTTTGAAATTCGAAAAAGAGATTATCAACGACGACAACAACAAATTTTTCCAAAACAATTTCTTGAATTTAATTCATTTTCGTTATCTATACAACAACAAATTGTATCACTGTTGAATTCATAACATTGTATGTTTATTACTGAAAAGGAAAACGAATGATAAATTGAGGAGTTTTAGAGCATGTGAACCATTGGTTAACAATTGTAATTTATCGACCAGTTCGAGACTTGCCCTCGTTTAATTCAATATTAAAGTAACTGTGAATGAGTCCGATTTTGAAAAAAAATTCATCTGCCTTACGACTTTTGCTGAGATCTATACTTTTATTGAAATGTATTTCATAATAATACCACCTTCATGACAATTCTAGAACATCAGTATGGTTCAGAGAAGAAACAA